CTTCCCTGGGGTGCCGAGGCCGCGGGGCCCAGCGGAGCCCGGAGCCAAGGGCGCGGGGCTGCCCTTGCCTCCCTGTCCGGGGGGCCGCCGCTGTTGGCTGGGGTTTCAGCCCGCTTGACGGGCTGTTCTCGGGGAAGGCCTAGGGAGGGAACGGCGTGCAGCGAGGGCAGCGCTGATGTTTGGGGCCCGGGTAGGGAGTGTGTTGGTGCTATGCCAGTCGTCAGTACCAAGAGGCAGGGTCCAGCTTCAGTACCTGCTTTCCGACATCCGAAATGATGCCGTGAAAAGCTGAAGACTCAATAGTCAGAAGACTATTAAGCAGGTATTCTTTATTATGGTGCTGGGCACACGGGGGATCTCTCCTCCAAATGTGCGCGCCAAACACCCTGTCATTTCAGGTTAAATACAATCACAATATACATATTTGTTATATTTCCAAGAAACGCTTAGCATATTTATGACTCTTCCAAGAACTGTTTAGCACATGTTGATGTCTTTCATGCATGTCTGTTAGCGTCCTCGGGTGGTCTTTGGGGGTCTCAAGATGAAGGCTCATACTCCTCATCACAGTGCCTGCTGGATGACCTTTGTTTCTGCGTAAACTCAGTTCTAAGATCACGTGTCCTCCCACGTTCTTTTGCTCTGGTCTTGTTGCCCTCTTGGTGCCTCTTTATCTCTGTAGCCTGGTTTATCTGCCCTCCCAAGGCTGAGATGTCTGGAGTAGAATTATTTAGGAGTTGCTCTATCTTAGAGCTTTCCTGTGTTCTCAAAACAGCAAGTCGAGTTTGTCTAAGCAGCGTTATTTAGGAGCCGCTCTAACTTAGAGTTTTCTTGTCTTCTCAAAACAGCAAGAATCTACTTTAGTTTAATTCCAATCACTCTAGTAAGTGGAGATTTTACATTTACAGGTATCATTATTATGCAACTCGTAACTGTCTTTCCCTGTGTGTTTCAGGCCATTCTGATTTTCTGCTGGGTTTATGTGCGCAAGTATCAGAGTCGGCGGGAGAGTGAAGTGATTTCCACCATAACAGCTATCTTTGCCTTGGCAGTTGCTCTTATCTCATCAGCGCTACTACCAGTGGACATCTTTTTGGTTTCATATATGAAAAATCAAAATGGTACATTTAAGGTATGAACTTCTAAAAACATTAATTGTGTCTTTGAAAGAACCACTTTCCTTGTGTTGTCGAAGTGTTTAATACCAGTGCTAATGCCTGTTCTAGTACTTGAGTTTCACTGCAATTGCAACGCTCTGTTCCGTTTGTTTATTTGAACTGGATTTCAGTTTCCACTTCTGTTTTTTAGATTTATTCCTGCAAGATTTTCCAAATTCTATTCATTTATGAAAGCTCATTCCTTATGTTGTACTACTAATGTGCATCTACCATCCTTAAGTTGTAAATAAATCTCTTAATATTTGTTTTTTAGTACATCATGGGGCATTGTAGAATGGATTTTGCTGTCCCTTTGTTCAAAAACAGACTGTATTGCCCGTTTGTAGTTTAAGACTATTTTGATTGTCTTTTTTGTCAGCAATTCTCTTATTCTAGTACTGAAGAGTTACGAAGATTTACTGTGTTAATCTATGTAGAGCCTGAGTTAATAAGCACTTACAGAGGGCAAGCTGGAAAAACCCTTGGGGGAGGGGAGCACAGTAGTATCTCTTCTTGACTGATACCACCTTAACTGAACTACTGTTTTTATGAACTTAAACTGCAGGGGGTTGCTGTGCAAAAGGAGTTCTTAATGAGATGAGTACTCAGGGTAGTCTGCTCTGAGCATTCCTGTAAGCCAGAGTTCTTAGCAACGCTTAAAGTGCTGGCCTGTTTATTCAAGGAGGGTTCCTGAAGGTAGTGACCCAGTGTCTTTGTGAGGACGCTGGTCTTAAAAACAGGTCAAACTGGAGCATATTAATAATTGGAATAGCAGCTTAGTTTGGTTTGGAGCCTACCTGGATCTGTAATAGAGATGATCCTCAAACAAATGAGGGAGGGGGCAGATAGTAAGTGTCTGCATGCTAGACTTGAAGACTGTATTTCCTTCCAGCCCTACTTCCAAAGGAAAACCTAGGTCCTGCCAGATCTTTGAGAATGCTTCACAACTATCTTGAGGCCAGTACACTACCTGGAAGATGGAAGAAGAGACCTGTCATGATACTAGCAGTTTGAGAGTAATACTGAGTATCAAGAGATACATGGAGTCTGACTAGCTAGAGAAACAACAATCATGTAACTAGGTCCAGCTGAAAAATGCACATCCGCTGGGGACTAAGCAGAATTTCCTGTTGCGAAGGAGACCTACTTAGTATATGCATTCCTTGACTTGAGAAGGAAACCTGTGAGGAGAATAGGAGGCCAAATGTGGTCACGCAATCACAGCAGTCTTATTTAAGGAGGTATGATTAACAGAAGGAAAATCACTGTACTTAAAGTACTATAGGGTTTTTATGAGCTAGGCTTCTTTGCTAATGGCCACGTGCTGTGGTATGATGGGGTGGATAGATTCTGTTTAAAAACTGTGCCTGAAAGCAAGCTTTCTTGCTTGTGGTAAAGCTTTTATTTCTTTACCTTTGCTTATGCTTCTGAGGCTTCTTGATCTTGCTTAGTTCCTAATGTTTGTAGATGCTACTGGTGGCCTGTTGAAATAAAATTTCTCCATACTGCTTTGCAGAAGAGTTCTTCCTTCTCATTTAAGGCTCAGCTGAGTGAATTTCTAGCTTTGCAGCAATAACCTGAGACCTTCTGATATTAATGCATTTGATCCAATACAAGTGTTGAAAGTGGGAGATAGAAATGTGGTCTTCCTGATAAAGCTGAGTGGATCTGAAGTCAGTCTGAACATATGGATGTGTAAAATATATATGTATATGTAAACACACAGTTTTATTGATGTGGTAATTTCAGTTTAGGAGTTGTGTCAAGATAGAAGGTTGAAAGCATTTTAACATGAGATCTTCGTGAGTTGTTAAAGCTTTTAACACTGTTGTGGGTAACTTGTGCTTCTTCTCTGCCACTACTTCACAAGTGGGACACACTGGATTTGGTTTAGAATATTTCCAAGAGACTACTGCCCTTCTTTGGGACTGTTCTTTCAAACTGAGCCCCCCTGAGGCCACATATCTGATGTTGGGGTCTGAAGGACTATGGCTCTGGCAAGAAACCTTTGTTTTGAATGGCCAGAGTGAGTTAAGTCTTCACGGGATTCTTCTCAGTGAATTTTTGAGGCAGATCCAGGTAGCAGATGTGGATAATATACTCTGCAGGTAAATCATTAGTTCATCAAAAAACCTTCAAACTGGATGATTTCAGAGCTTGTGCCAAAAGAGTAGTGGCAGTTCTCCACATCCTAGATAAACAAGTTCTTTTGCTGTATGCGTTCTTTCTCCCAACTGTAATTCCCAGTGTCAGTGTTGGAGAGATGAGAAGGTCAAGGATGTTCAGCTTGCAAGGAAGAGGTACTATATGTGGACTTTGAGTTACTTTTTAATGTGTCTTACCCTACTATCAACTTGTAGATATTTTTTAAGTTGTTCTGTGAACAAACTTCCAGCAAACTCAGGCAGAAGCATGTCATACTAGTAGCAGAGGTTAACTTGAACTCGTAGTCTGGTGGTTCGGAGTTCCGATTGTGAATGATGTGCTCAGTGACAAGTGAAGGTATGTGTCCTGACTACAAGGATTGGCGTGGTTGTCTGAAGTGTAGTACCAAGGTTGATTGCACTTCTCTGAAGGCTGTCAAAGTGATGCTGCTTTCTGGATGAATTAACTTAAAACAGCGTTGTGTAGCCCTTTTCTGTCATGTGTTCTGAGGTGTCTTCCTTGACAGGGGCCGTATACTATGCCTTGGTCAGCCTTTGTTAAGCTGTTAATTGAAAGATTTATAAACAGTACATTAAGACAAGTTGTTCTTTACTATAAGCAAATGGCTTGTGGCATTTGGTACCTGTTGGTGTCTCTCACCAAGTTTTGTGAGACTTAACAAATATTAAAGCTTTTACGGTGAGTGGATTGAGCAGTTCTGCTATTAGAAGGTTTTGCACAGTAGTTGTGTAGTCCTTTAGGAAAGGAGCAGTGATGCATGGACTTGGGTTGTTATTTTCTGTGTGTACAGTAAAATTCGTTGCGACAACACCCTTTTCTGGAGGCTGGGATGACTCTGATTCATAGTACTGTTAAGTAGGAAAGGCTTTTGGTTCTAGCACTAATCAAAAGAACTGGAGTATTACCTTGTAAGCGAAGCCTGATAATATTCACCAGCACCACTTTTATCTTAAAGGCTTTGGCTGCTTGCATTGACAGTGCTCTAGTTTATGCGATGCTCTTCAGATACATCCAGTTGGAACTGATCTGTTTGATCTGAAAGCTTGTTTGATTTATAACAAGCACTTAGGAACAGAAAACCTTACCCTAGCTTAAAAATTTGAGATTGCTGCTGGAACCCAAGACCTCTGGGGCTGACCTACAAGTCTCATAAATACTTAAAAATAAATACTTAAAACATAGCTGGTGCTGTCTGGCAGCAGGAAGACTGCTTGAAAACAGGACATGATCATCACCACACTGTCTTTGTTGATGCAACAGAAGGCAGGGGAGGTGATGAGAACTTTCCTTCTTGAAATGTGTGGATTCTTGCTACTATATGAAGTTAAAAACTAAGTAGTATTTCTTTCAGTCTGGTTAAACAGAACACCTCACAAACCCTGGGTGTCTGCCTGAGCTGTTAAAAGCCAGTTGTCTTCCTTAAGGAGTAACATCTATTTAATGGGAGATCCTTTTCCACAGACCATTCTAGTAAGATTTTTTTTTTTGCATCTTGGAGGAAGCTCATTATGTAGCTGCGCAGAATACAGAACCATTAGAAATACCAGGTTTTTTTTATTCTAGAAAGGTGTTAGCTGAGAAATCATTATCGAATGAGACCGTGCTTCCTGTCATGAGCAGGGACTACTACTTGTGAAGTATCAATACTTAGCTAAAATATTCATGGTAGCCAGATGTGGCTGAGATGTGCATGTTTCTGGATGTTACTCTCCATCTGGCACTCAATCCTGGTTCTGTCTCATTTTCAAGGCAACAGGCTGGAAGATCTGAGACCTGGATATGAAATTCCTTTGTATATAACTGTGCTATCACCCACTCTCTAGTCTTTGGTATTGTATCTTCCTTTTCTTGGCTAAGCTTTGGGAAAGGCTAATTGGCAGAATGACGGGTTCATCTACATTTGATGAAACATCATAAATACTGACACCTGGAATGTTACACTACCTTAAGCTCTAAGGTACACTTGCAGAGAATGGGTGCTGTCTTCACTGGGTACTCATGAAATTCTTGCAGGGTCCAGCAGTGAGAATAGAATTGTCCCCTTTAACAGGGATGAAAGAATGAAATTCATGGCCATTTCTTCACCAAAAAGTGGGGAAGGTAAAAAATGTCGTATCTTATACTGTCTTTGTTTGGGGAAGTTATCTGTACAGTTTGAATAGTACTGTTCTGTTGAAATATGTGTTAACATAATTCAGTACCTGGGCACAGCTGCTAGGAGAAGGAAGACTCTGCTCAGTGGTTACCGGGAGAAGCAAGTGTTCTTCACAACTAACTTTCTATTAATGTAACTATAATATCTCTTGTGGGATATTTACTTTGGTTTTGGCTTTTGGGTAAATTGGAAGTGTCTTAAGCTGCATTTTTTTATAGCTGTATTTATGTAGCAGTATTTTACTAATCTATTTACTTTCTACACTTCAACTGTATTTAAATTTCCTAAATCCTTCAACATGGCTTACATTAAGGAATACTTAAGATTGATAGCTTAATGTAGGCAATCACACTTGTTGCACGTACCCTTGCAAGTTGTTGATTCACTTATCTATCAATACAATGCATTGTTACAGATATTCTAGAGCTGTTATGATGCATGCTTACTACGCTGCATGGAACTGAATGAAGTACAGCAGAACAGTGCAGAGCACCTGAATTCTGCAGATTTTAGGAGAATTTGTAGTCACATTTTGAAATCTTAAACTGCTGTTGAAGGCAGTAATGAAGTCTCACCTTCCTAATCTGTTGTGCTTTTAAGGTGTCTGCATATATTGTAAGCTTGGGCCATAATGGATGGAGAAGAAAGACTAGA